AGGAGATGCCTAACTCACACCATACTTCAGCGCTCTCCTCCCTCAGTGTCCAAGGTCTGACTATTCCAGATGGGCACCAGTAAGCCTGCTGGGACTGCAAAATTGTGTCTTAGAGGCAGGCATGCCTTTGGACATGAGAGAGAAACTTCTGCAGCTGCATGTTGCAAAATCTCAGGAAGCTCTCCTGCTCCGCCGCCGCAAAGGCAAGTTCATTCTTGAGAAGACCTGCAGAGAGCATCTTCCTCCATGTTAGCAGGAACAGGCCCATCAGGCACTGCTCCATGATTAACAAATCAAACCAGTAGGAACAGGTTTCAGTAGCACGTTCATGGTACACCAGTTCTAACACCAGAGAAGGGACTTCTGACTCATTCCCACCCGGCACCCCACCTGGGGAAGGTTCACATGACAAGGTTTTATATTTCCTCATTTAAAAGACATTAAGAAAGCTATCAGCACACTTAGGTAAGCAATTGGATAGGGCACCAGCAATTACTCTGTATTAGCAGCTGCACACCTTCACTATGTGGTGGGGAGGTGTGAGTTCACAGGAAGAGTATTTCCAACACCCCTGATGTGTTACAGTGTGGCACACCCCGAAATAGGCTGTTACTTTCTAATATCTTCATAAAAGTATTTTCTTTATTAGTTGCCTCCCATGAGCACATAAACAGCAGCAGTGACACAAGAGGTGTTCCCTCCAAACCCTGGGCAAAGCTGAGTAGAAGCTAAAAAAAAAAAAAAAAAAAAAAAAAGTAGGGGTTTGGATTTTTTTTTAAACATAATCTCAAAGGAACAGCTTTGCTCTCAGAATGGAAAAAGCCCTCAATCAGACAGGAGAACAAACCAACCATCAGTTGCAACAACAGAGATAAGGCCCTAAAAAACAACAGTAAAGGTCCTGTTATGATTTGCTTAAACGTGGGAGTGAGTATTTGGGGCAAAATAACCTAGAAGCTGCCAGCCCACCCCAAAGTACTACTTCTTTCATTGCATACACTCACACCAATACTAGCATGGCCTTTGAAAGAAAAGACTATGCTGTGTAGGTGGGGGTATGCACACACACGTGGGTTACTCCACAGCCCTTTGCGGCTTTTCCTGTACAGCAAGTTTTAAAAGGAACCACATCCAACTCCATCAACTTTCAAATCAGTAATCCGCACACATAAGGAATTGTGGCCACGTAGCACAGGCATTTACAACAGACTGAACATGGGCTGTTTAGAGTCAGAGCAGAAGACCTCTGCAGCTTGAGCTGATGAATCCTCAAAAATGTTTTTGATAGTTTTGAGCTATATAGTCCTGGAAGGTACACAACAAGAGTCAGCCAACACCCAGAGGCCACAGTGTTCAAACCCCCAGACAGTGTCTTCATTGCCTTTCAGTTATCACAGAATACGTTTGAGATGAGGCCATCAGCACCCCTCAGACACTTCTTCCCACGGAGGTACCTCTGCAGAGGAATGAGAGGTGCTCATTCCTCTCGAAGAGCAGCAGGACAGCGAAGTCTAATTCTGCCAGATACCAACATGCCCTGTATCTTCCAAATTCAGATCATAAACCACTATTTTCCAGAGGCTACTAAGGGAGACATTTATCAAGGTAAAGATTACAGTGCTGCCTAAGCCAAAACTAGCAGTAACATTTGACATCAGCTGGAGGGTATGGATGATACACACTCACTTTTAGAGTAGAAATTTAGTATTAAGGATACAATAGTACCAGGAACAATATAAAACTAGTGCAGACAGAAAGCTGATAAGACCTTCCTGGAAGTATCAAGTGTGAATTGTGTACCTGAGGAAAGCAAAGGACACGAAACCAATGTCCATCTGTTGTGATAGTTTACCTTGGACTCTTGTGAAGTTCACTCTCTCATGCCAAAACAGGGTACTATCAGGACAGTAATTTTGATCTGCTCTCCATTCTACATGCATGTGAAGATCTCTTCTGTTTTAGGAGCCAGGAACGCATTAGCCATTTGGTTTTAATTACATGAAAATTGAACTCAATGCTACATTAACTCTAACTTTAAAGAGAAGCAAACTGGAAAGAGTATTCAAGAGAGAATGGTTAGACTAACAGCCATCATATATGACTGTTCTTTGACAGCAACAGCAAAAATTAACCATGTCAGCCATCCCCACCTGAAACAACCAGGGTAGCAGTTTCCCAGTAGGGAAAGGACCATTGGCAGGACTGCAGAACTCAGGTTCTGTTAATGAGATTTCACTTAAATGTAAAATACAGCATTTTCCTTCTTTAATAAGGCTTTATTGTATTTAGGTTTAATAAGTGTATCAAAACCTGATTTAGCAAGTAGCAAAATCAGATTTACTTTATACTCATATTTATATACGTGAGTGATGACTTCGTAGTACTTAAACCCATAATCTCAGGAGAATAACATCCGTTTCAACTTCCCTTCCTGCTCAAGTGTTGCAACCGAAATCATGCTGCAATTTGCTACATTAAAATTCTGCTAGGTGTTAAAAAAAAATAAAAAATTATGCCATTAAAGCTGAAACAAACCTAGGAAGTCATTTTCATGAACTCTTACGTTCCATCTCTAAGGGTCATTCTGATAGGCAGTACATCTTATTTGATGGAAGTTTAAAGTTAAAGCATGCAAAAAGTCAGTCCAAAATTTATACAGCAATAGAGTTTACAAACATTTGCCTATGAGGACATAAACCCCATCCTCTAAACCCAAAAACTAATGCCTGAGCCCCATATAAGCATTCTTCCAACTGTTCTAGTTATGCTTTCTGCAAAGACGGAAAGTTCTCGCATGCAAGCGGAGGGCTGTGCCAGCCAGCTCACACAGCAATCGCCACCAGACAGCACTACCTTTCGGTAGCAGAACGTCCTCCCCAGAAAGGTGATGATTCTGGAGCACTCCCACTACCCAGCCTTCCCAGAGCTCACTGAAGAACAGACGCCCCAGCTAGCTCCAGAGCTAGCAGCATAACTGTGTCAGGTCAGTACCCAGCCCAGCAAGTCTTCTGAGGCAGCTACATTAAACTTTGCCTCTTTAGCGCAGGATTCTGGATCCCAAAAGCAGTAAACGCAAGGCACTGCACAATGCGGCACTGAAAGCGCACTCGGTGTTAGCCTGTAGATCTCTGTATGGTACTCCACAGCAGCATAAATTAATCTTTAGGGTATGGAAGACTTCTCTAAATGCATTTAGATGTTAGCACCCAAGCACCAATTGCAGTGCTTTGCTAACTAAACCTTCACATGCTTAGACTTGTCTCTCCTTTCTTGTAGGCAAGCCCATGAGACATGCTCTGGTACTGCAAGTTACCACTGACCATTTTCATGAAGTTCCTTTGGCAGCATTGGAGCCCGCCACATATTCAGTAAGTGCCCTCACTACATGGCAGTTTCTGAGCTTTCATATATTTTCATCTCATTAATGAGGAATTTATGGCAGGGAACTTTCTGGAGATCGTGTGACAGCAAAATGTATTCTGCTAACTAAACGCACGCTCTTTTCCTGCATTAACACAAGCCAGGAAGAAAAGCACATTGATAGTATAGCAGTATGTCAGGGGACAGACTTTGATTTTTCTGGTATCTATGTAAATTTAGGCTATGAATGAATGGAATTATGAAGAGTCATGAAAATCTGCTTAGCAGATCTTTGTTAATTTTTTAAAAATTAAGAATCAAGCTTTAGTAAACCCCTTAAGATCCAATCTTCTTTCATGCCAATAACCATTTTATTTTCTGTTCCCCTTCCTCCAGGAATCACAGTGAGGATTTTAAAATGTGGCATTCAGTTTGAAGGAATTGAAGTGTTTATCTGGCCACAGCACTGAAACTTATGCAGCCAGGAGATGTTTAAAAAAAAAAAAAAAAAAAAAAAAAAAAAAATCGATGTTACTAAGCATAAGCACTAGAAACTTTATACTAAGAAAGTTAAATTCAGAGACTTTTAAAGCCACATGTATTATGACACTATATGCCATCAGACCAAAGCTTTTAAATGTGTCTTAAAAAAAATTAACCTTCCAGAGGTGAACTCCAAGGAGAATCAGTACATAAGAAAGCAACTGGTGTAAGTTTCATCACTGAAATAGGGTGCATCACTGCAGTTGCAGCACTGGTGTGACTGAAATAAAACATTTCAGTCAGCTCTTGTACAACTCAGCACACCCTCATTGCACCAACATTTTAAAGGACACCGTAAGAGAGCTGAGCAGATTACTCAACTGACAACTGGCCATACAGAAGACCAAGTAAGACACTAAGCCCAAGTCTTTGCTTCGTAGCCATGGCTCTTTCAGTTCACACTTTCCAGCTCTTTAAATTTTTTTATCCACTGCAGCAAGATAAGCACTTCCCACTCACATAGTATTGTTCTATTCAGCTTGTGAATAAGGACATTAAGCAGTAGGAAACAGTATTAAAAATAATTTCCTAGAAAAGTAAAACTAATCTGAAATCGTAAAATAAATACGGATTAGTTGCATCATATCTACTTGGAACAACAGTATTACTGCATCATCCAAAAAGGCAGACAGTGACAAGGAACTACTGAGGAGCATTACTGTAAAACTGAAGTATTATTGTGAAGGGTCCCTGGGTTTTAACATGGAAATATTAAAAAAATCCCCTCCAGTTTTAATATGCAATGAAGTGTAAAACCCATTCCATCTTTGACCGAACATTTCAAGGCATTTTCAAACTCTCACACTTTCGTCACCACATTTGCAGATGAGAAGTGCTGGCAATACATTATATTCAAATTGAAACCAATTCTTCTACATAGCTAATGTTCTGTCCATGCGCTGCCCAATGAAATACATCTATATAGTAGCCCTGGGAGTAAGTCAGTATCTCTTGCGCTCTGTAACATTATCAAAAAGTTAAGTGACAGACACTGGCATCAGAGACTTAGCTTCACTCTGTCAAATAAAGTGATCAGTGTTAAGTGGTAGGCAATTCATTCTCTTTGAATTTTTATTTCAGGTCAACAATAGCTTTACCTGCATAATGTACAGGGATTTCTATCTTTGGCCCTATGACGTAGTGACCCTCCTCCAGACTGTGAGCTGTAATTGTTGTCCACTGCCGACATGAATGAATCAGAAGATAATCACTCTCTCGAAGGCCTTCTACAGTTTCTCCTGCAAAAGAGATGTAGGTTTTTTTTAAAAAAAAAAATAAATAAAATAAAATCACACTTACTGCATGAAGAATTAGGAAAACTTCACAACAAGCGTTTATTCTTATTGCTGTTTATTTTTTTCAGACTTTTGATATTTAAAAATCCAATTAAGTAAATCTCAATTCTACACAGTATTCATTTTTGCAACGTAAGCACTTTACAGAAAACAAACATAAAGCAAAACAACTCAGTGCGTGAATACAATAGCACAGAGATGTAATCCAGATTACTCAGCAGTGGCTCTGGGGCTCATTTTCAGCTTTCGGTATAAATAGACTTTTCATATCTCTATTTATGTCTGCCTATCTCACTTAATACAAATACTTGAGAGCTCTTTTAATTTTTAAAGAAACCAAAAAAAAGTACAGTTTTGTATGTTGAAAGATCAGCATCACACTACCCTACAGCCACCTGAAGCCAAATCTTGTTCATCACTATTAAGTAATTGGCTATCACACTTGCAGATATAGAGATTTCAGCTTTGTCATTCTATCCCTTTGCAAGTCACTGCTTAATTAGCCATTCCTATGTCTGTAAACTTAATCCTGCCACATAATGAGGATAAATAAATAAAATTGAACACACACCAAAGTCCTCTCTCGGAGATAAATTCAACCAGAAGCCCCCCCCAGGTAATGTCCAGCTCATCTTTGTAACGCCCCCTCTGTGAAATCCATCCCAAACACAGCCAGAGACCCAGCTCTCCTCTCTTCCCCTGTCCCCACCAAATCATCTGCATTTCTGCCAAGTACTCTCCCCTACTCTACCAGTTGCAGTGCCTGATCAGGACCAGAGTGCTTTGCTTGGCTTTCCAGCAATTGGAAGAGCCACATTAGATAGACTACTCATTGCGCCAGCTATATATCTCAAGCATGATATATGAACAAAATTTCACAGAGCAGGGTGTATCACGGCAGACTGCTCTTACATACCTGCAGTCCTGCTTAGTACGCTTCTGCATTAAACACACAGAAAACAGCATTTCTCAAAGTGCCTTTAAAGCACGTGAAATTTCAGGAACACTTAGTAGACACTAAACATGGGCCAATAATAACGAAGCTTTAAATTTCATTTTCCTTTTCTCCCACCAGCCCTCTGCAGTTACAGCCAAAAATAAAGCAAGTAGTTTAGCCCTGGAATCAAGTTTGGACAAAACCCATCCCCTTCAGCTACTACACCAAACTGCACTTTCTCTTCACTGTCCTCTGATATTCTTTAAAGTCAATAGAAGAATGAGACTTTCCTCAGCCTGGGGCAGCAGACATTTCCCCTGTTCAATCTCTGCAGAGGAGAGATACTTCCCATTGAGCTTGTTTTTTGCCCACACCAGGCAATCTTTTCCACCGTAGGCAATGGCTACTACACACCCCGTTCCTGCCTAATTTCATGCTCCCATTCTATCAGAAAGTGCCCTCCTACACAATTCAAAACGCAGCAACTGGTATGTGTGAGAACTGTTAGATTTTAAATCAGACGAGACCATTATGACCATCTGCTCCGACACTCTCCAGCCACAGGATTCCGCTTGTTTCCTCCAGAAACTTGGGTTTGGCTAAACAGGAGAGAGACCCTCCCCAACTCATAGGGTCCGAGAGATGGATCCCTGGGTCTGCTGTCCCACGGCCTGTTAAAACTTAAAAAAAGTTCCCATTTTGTACATTTGGGGCTTTAATTTATAACTGTGAATAAACTGCTGTTATGTGGGTGTAGAAGGGGAACAAAAACCAAAACAAAACAAGGTATACAGAGCTCCTTAGTACTAGTTCTTCTTGCTCCTGTGAAGGTGCCATTTCCACGTTTGCTTCTTTTTCAGAGCACAGAAAGTACTTCCAGGTAAGCAGGACATTTCAAGAACTGGTTTCCATGCGCTCCTTGGACCACATCCCTTAGCAGGCCAGCCAGGCAGACAGGCTGCTTAACACCAGGTCCTGCTCCTGGGGAAGCACCACCCCTCCGCCCACAACGCGCTGGGAGGAGAGACCTCGGAAAGCCTAGGGATGAGTGGCAAAACCGCCACGCGGCACCAGAGAACTCTCTGGTCCCATCCGTATCTTGAAGAAAATTCAGATACATTTGCTAGAGGAGTCAGTCACACACCCACTACATCTTACCAAATCACCTGACCTTGAGCACCTCCTGTTTTCTGCTCACAGGGTAACTCCTAATACATACAAAAATTATCTTCAGCTTGCTGCAACAGAGTTTTACAATTTGGGGTGAAAACATAATAATAATAAATGGTTTTATTTGAAACTCAATGTTTCAGTTTAGAGTTACACTTAACGCTTTCTATAATCCATGGCAACAAGTAATTATTCCATCCCACAACAAAATAAAACTGGCGACACCTAAGGGAAGAACTAGTATTTTACTAGTTTCACTGACAGTGGTAAACAAATTTTGAAGGAAATACAAAGCATCTCTGGTATGCTTTTTCTCTGACTTAAAATCTGTAGCTATAATTTCAGAACGTTGCCTAAAGGAAGGCTGGATTCTACATCCAGGATCGCAGGGAAATAATTACAGTATGGGTCACCCTCGAAGAGTCTGAGAAAGACATTCTCAGGAAAATAGAGACAGCCATTATGAAAAGGTGCTTCCAGTCGTGGCTCACATGCCATGATCTGTTTAAGTGGTTACTCCACTAAAACTGGGTGGGACAGGTGAGCGTAAAAAGAGATTACTAAGGCAGGCCCAAGAGTGACTACGTAATTAAGTCTGCAGCTGGAAGTAGCTGTATTTTTTAAACAGAACCTTGGAAACCACAATTCTTGTTACACCAATTATTTGCTCCAACTGCTTACACTGGGAATGATTTTCACGCTTTGCTGCGGGAGAGCGAGCCGAGGAGAGAAGGTGGAGCGGAGGCAGCGGGGAGTTCTCCACCGGCCCTCCGGCTCCCTCACAAGGGGCAGGCCTGCCCTCACCCAGCCCTGGTCCTTCCGAACCGTGGGCGAGACGGATTCCTGGGGCGGCTTTGTAGGAAGAGGCTCCTTGTCGCCAAAGGCATTAATGGACTCGCAAAACCACCTGGCTAATGACGGCCTCCGTGCTATGGGAGGGAACGCAAGGAAGAGTCAAACGTGACTGAGGACAACAGAATATTGCAATACATACCCTCTTCTTTCTTCCATCTTCTTTCTAGGCTGTCTCCCCCTGGAAGACTTGCTCGCTGCCTTTAAAGCGGTCTCCTCCTGGAGAGGAGGACCTTTCAGGCAGGAGACACCTCTGACCCGAGCTACATGACTCAGCTCCCAGCCCAAGCACGGCCCTACAGACTTAGTCCTTTACACTTTTCCCAGACAACTGTACCTTGCAAAACAGCCACACATATCCAATCTGATTTTTCCCCTGACTCAGTAACACAGGTTATGCAAGCCTTTCATTAATCACATTTTAACTATGTGGGAGAGAATTCGGCAGTCCTCGCACCCACCAACTATGCAACTCGGTTCTCACCTATTCAACACACTCCTACACTGCTGCTTACACAAAAATCAGACGCCATGAGAAAATAGAGAACACAGGCCACTAAATCTTTAGTAACAGTTTTGTCTCTTATGATCAAATATGGATTAGCTTTATCTTCTCACCCTCTCCTCCCTGCCCCACACGCCTGCAATATAATTAAACCACTACAAAGAATCTACAGGCAAACACTTGTGTTGTTTTTTCCCCCCAAATAAAAGTCAGAGAAGCAATGAACTATCACATGCAATTCCCCACCCTTCCCCAAGTTGCCTACATCTTTCCAAAATATGAGTCAAGTTTATTCATAATAATGCCCAAGACTAAGAAACCCATGACTCGCCAACAGTGCCTAAACCCTAAATAAAGCGTCAACGCCCATTCCTGCATGACAATAAAAGCCTCACACCTCCGAACTGAGAAGTTCGCCAGTACGTTCCTACACAAGCTGTCCTCCTATAAGCACTCTGACCATGACCAGTATTTCGGCTACTTCATCATGCATCACAAGCAGCGCTGTAACAGCTATTCATGTGTTCATTAAAAATAAGACGTATTACCATTTTTTAATTACATGATCCATTTCCATGCAATTCCTAAAACCTACAAACATTGTAAAGCCCACCCTTGTTGAAGGGCAATTGCAAAGGGAACACTGACCACAAAAGGAAAATTGTTCACATGTTGATCCAGTTAAAAAAAAAAAAAGTAATTGCTTAATCAAGAGTCCCATGCTTATTAAATACCACCTACATTAAATGCCAATACTTCTTTAATAATTCTTTCCAGTTCCAAAACTGGATCATCCACATTTGGCAAATCTTGGGCTTTATTGTTGTAAACACTCCAATCTCAAATTAACAGTTAACAACTGTAGCAAGACTGGAAGCAGGATACCTCTATCTGCAAGTTTGGAGATGAATTTTTGTTTTCACCTGCAGTTTTTAAGAACCAGGTGAGAAAACAGAGGCTGGCTATGCACAGAGACCAAGCTTATGTATCGCAATGCTGCAGCACAGAAGGAAGCTCATTGCTTTTGAAGCAAGCACTGACCTCCCTGCAGGTTGTTGCCACCGCTTACTTTCTCAAGACACATACTTCTATTTAGTTCAGCATTTCACATTTCCAAGTATCTGGGGTAAAGCCTCAAGAGTAGAACTGAAGACCCCTCCAGTTTTGAAGGGTCTGAGCACTCCCACCTCCTCTTCGCTTCCTTCTGGATCAACAATTAAAGCTTGGCCCATTACAGTCCATAAAAGAATATTCACACAGATTCCACATACTCTGGTTCGCCAAAGACAGCAATGACCTTTCAACAACCACCACTACAGAAAAATCATGAAACAAATGGAATAAAAAAATAAAAAAACAAAACCAAACAACTTATAAGGTTCTCCTCCTAGTATTGAGAAACTAACATTCAAGTCAATCCAAAATGTGCAGACGAACATGACTCATTCACTCACAGAATCTACATTGCCAAAAATAAGCAGCGATCTACAGGAATATAAATGCTTTATAATGCCACACACTTTGTCATCTTGGCTAAGAGTTTGCATCACTGCCTTAAAGCATAAGCTTTGCTTCTGGAGACATTAAAATAGTAGGTAACGAGCAATTCAGAGAAAGAGAAGAAGTCGCATGCAAGGTTCCAGCAACGTAACAGATACCATTTACACACGCCAGATGAACTAGATATCATCTCCTCCTGCCAGGAAGATCGTTACGGAGACATTCCTCTCATCTCATTCATCACAGAAGGCTGTAAAGCGAGCTTAATGCTGTCCCTTGCACATCAGTTCAAGCATGCAGAATTTGCTCTTCCTGGAACAAAAAGGCTTACAGAAAAGAGCTTGGGGCTCATGAGAAACTTACGATGACTTTATGAAATAGCTGGTGAAGAGGATGCCTGCAAAACCCCAGGGAAAACTCATCAAGACTTTGGGCCATGTGTTTTCATTAAGCCTGAACACCATCTGCATGCAAGGTAACAGATGCCGTACAATTAAGTGCATCACCCAGCCTGCCTTGGTCAGTTAAGTAGGTGGCGAGTTTAATTATTCCATCTAATGTTCCACAATCGCATAACATATCATTACACAGAAAAATCTCAGCAACATTAAAAATCATTTCAGTGGGTGCGCAGCCAGGTACCTACAAAACCACATGAATTAATAACTTCAACTTTACCCCCACTGGAGCTTGCCCCAACATTTGCTAGGAATGAAGGGTTAATTTGTGGAACAGCAAAAAGAAGTGGCTGGCTGGTCAGGTGAGCACATCTGCTGTGAAAGAATGACGAAGAACTGCCAGCACGTGGCTAGTGTTACAAGGGACAACTAGCAACCAAGGTTTATTTTGCAACAACTGGAAGCTAAGAGAAAGCAGAATGATTAGAAGCCAGAAAAAAGAAAGAAGTGAGGTTCTTACTTATTTATCATGCTATCATTGCACTGAGGAGCCTTACTTACACAGCATCTGCTTCACTGGGCATGCAGCTTCACTGGACTTTCCCTGGCTGAGGACCAACGAGCCATGCATTAAGATACACCTTAACATCCTACTGCATCAGGAAAGACAAAGCACAGTCCCAGCCAGTATGAAATGAAGTTATAATCTATTGCTTTAAAAAAAAAATAATAAAAAGACAGTATTATGGACTTTGTGGCTCTGTGCAAAGAGATGTTTCAGGTCAGAGGGAGGTCACACTGCTAGCACAAATATAAATGCCAGCACTGCTTTTCTACCCCAAAAGAAGGAACCTACAACGCCATACACCAGTCAACTAATAAAAGCTGTCTTGTTTTTGGAAACGGAAACTTGTGTTTCTGCAAACATGTGCTAGTCACATAGCTCCCACAGAGGTAACACCTTAAGATAAATTCAATTTCTTTTCATCTTATTGGAAGATTCACAGCAGGTAAAAGCTGAAGCCAAGGTCTCCTCTCAGCACAAAAGCTCAGGGGTCCCCCATCTAAAAGTGGGGAGCCCAGGGCCTAGCACGGATGAGCCAGCACACCTGAAGGACAGAAACACCCAGCTGTGCACAGCAAGCACCTACTAACTGTGGGCATTGCACACATGAACTTCAACCTCCTTGCAGTGAGGGCCTCTGAGCATCACAGGCACCTGCAGCCTCTCCATGGCAGGCCTTGTGGTATTGTCAGGTGTTAAAACCAGGCTGGGTACCACAGCATCCTTTTGCCTTTAAAAAAGCCGTCAGTCATAACTCAGGGCCATTCTCATCTGGGAATCTGTGTTTCCTTTCACTGGCAGGCTCATCTTTTACACAGTCTTCAAACAGCTCCCAACGCTTTGGTTCTTGTTCAGCCAGTTGGTTGTTTGGGCTTCTGATCTCTTGAAATACAAGACAACAAAAAACAAGGCTTAGCCGTCCACAAAAAAACAGCAGACAGCAATTCCTCGTTGCATATAAAACAAGTAGGCCAAAAAGATCAAGGTGTATGTCAGGCTGCATCACAAAGATTTTTCACTGTTAACTTCAGTTTGGTCTCATTTGACACAGGAACACACGGAAGCATCACTAGCGCTCAAGAAGCACTGCACTGAGCGTGTTGCTTTTATGTTAGTAAGAGTACAAGTTCTTTGAAAAACACATACAAAAAGCCCCAAACTGTTAGCATGGGCAATAGGCTACTGGAAGAGAACTCCAAGTAGTCAATTTTCCAATATCTTTGAGGCTTAGCATCTATTTTTATTGGAGTCCAAATTCAAAGAGCAGTATGAATTCCTTCACTTAAGCGACAAGACTGCACTCTTAAATAACTCTCTCTGGTTTTAATACATGCAATGGAGGAGAAACAAAAGAAACGAGTATGTGACAACGCAGTATAAGACGAACCCACTGTATTCTATTTGTTAATCAAATACCTGCAGCACTGTCATACAGGACCATCTGATGGCAGTTGTCATCAAAGGGAAGAAGGAACAAGTGAACAAATGCCCTTTTCCCCTTATAAGCACAGACATCATCTAAAGTCACTGAGTGGTTTTGTTGTTTCAGGCAGACTGAAACTGCAACAGCGCATGGGACAGCTTCCATCCGACTTCCCATTTACCAGAATGCTGTCAACATATAATCCTTCACCTCCAGCACTCAGTTGCACTGCCAGTGAGATGTTGCTGTGGTAGAACAGGTGCCTCTCCTGCTACAGATCATTTCACTAATATTTAAAGCTTTCTTCTTTTCTAACGCTGAGTTTGGAGTTTACATTTTGGGGGAAGAAACACAAAGTTCTTGTTAAGTCTGAATATTCAAATTAGGACAATTAATTTTATTTTATTATTATTTAGCAGGTCATGCAGCCTCTCCTCATGACAAATAACTTCTGTGTAAACTCTGAGGGAGGGTGGAGGGAGGAAGTCAAAGCTTTTGTTTTCTGCAGGCTGCATCATACTCCAGAGTATCTGTTAGGTATTTATCTATGGAGACATACCTCAATGAATGTCAAAGACTAATAAATATTAAATTAGGGTGGTTTGCTTGCTTAAGCTTTGGCACTGTACTTGGTTACTGAGTCAAATCTCAATGAGCTGTTCAGCCTGCCAGTGCTATTTCTTCCA